ATTACCTTCACCATAGATTCCCTGTAAAGTATTTAGAATTACTCTTTGGAACTCACCACTTACTCCAATAGCAACTCCTAAAAGTTCATCATTATCCCCTAAACCTTCTTCAAGATCTACACCTCGTTGTTTCATATATGGGTGATACTCATCTTCTTCCTCATCTTCAACTCTATGATATTGATAAGGGAGGGCTTTACTTGATGGAGCCCATGATCTGCCTCCTATGGCTGTTGTATCTTGAAACAATTCACATAATTCATTTGCAAAAGATAATCCTTTATACCAAAATTTTTCATATGTTGGATCTTCCTACACAGATATTACTGATAATATTACACAATACACATGAATAAAGAAAATAAATATATAACCTCACATAACAATGTCATACCGATATCTTTTTCTCCCATCAATCATTCGGAGCATCTATTGTGTTCTTTTCATGATTCCATCCCAACCCAGTCTCACTCAGAATCAATCTATTCCAGTCTTTCCATTCCTTTCTCAAATTATCCCATTTGTTTTTGAATTGTTGCTTATCATATTTTCTTCCAGTCTTACTATTAAAGGTAGTTTCTATATTTATCCAACCTGCTTTGCTAAAGCTACCACCATTTCTCTACTTCTTGTGCACTTGGTCCAAGCATAAGTCAATAAAAATCTTAGTGCTCCTCATATCTCATGAGGCTTTCGATTTATCCTTAGTCATTGTACTATATAAAATCAATTTCAGCATATTACAAATCAAAAATTATCCATCAACCGTATAGTAAGCATGTTGAGGATTATAAAAAAAATTATCAGAAAACATATATGGAAGATGAATTTGAGGAACATAAAAATGTGAAGGCTCAATATTATCAACAGTTTAGTTCACAAAAATAAAAAAGGCCAAATATTCTGTTCATCGTCTCCTGTCCAATTTTTTTAAAATTTTTGTTTCATCATCTCCTTAACAAAAAGCATATTCTGCAGAGGTCGGAAGTCGAAGACTTAAAAATAAAAAAAAACATAGACACAGAGAAACCACATGTAAAGGTCGAAGGAGACAAAAGAGCAAAACGAAAATCATACCTTGTAGAGGATATAAAATAACACCTAAAACAGGGGAGGACATATCGAATGTAGGAGGTAGAGATCAAAGTTCAACAGAGAAGCACTGGAGGAAGGAGATCGAAGCTGGAGGGAGGAGATCGACAATGAAGAACAAGAGTGAGGAAGGAGCTCGAACTTGGACAAAAGCACCGAAGGAAGGTCGTTCACATCAAACTGCAGTGAAGAAGATGCTCTGCAGGCCGCCACTCATGATCTGCAAATCTTGTCCAGATCGAGGATGAAGAACGATCGAGGATGAAAAATGAGGGTAAGGAAGGAGCTCGAACTTGGACAAAAGCACCGAAGGAAGGCTTCATATCGAACTGCAGTGAAGAAGATGCTCTGCAAGTCGCTACTCATGATATGCCACTCACGATCTGGAGATCTTGTCTAGATCGAGGATGAAGAACGAGGGTAAGGAAGGAGCTCAAACTTGGACAAAAGCACTGAAGGAAGGCCATTCACACCAAACTGCAGTGAAGAAGATGCTTTGCAGGCCGCCACTCATGAGACGCCATTCACGATCTGGAGCTTTGAGGGAGAAGACGAAGTTTTGCAATTCAAAAGCTTGAAGTTCAGGAGTCAAGAAGATCACGTGAGGGTTGGAGAGGGCTAAGAAAGAGACTACAATAAATGCAATAACGGTCATAATTGATTTTCAGAATGGAACAATAATCTGCTTCACTATAATGGAGTTTGGGAAGTTAAATGGAATTTTGAAAACGTGGGGTGTTTGGGTAAAAATTTTCAAAACTATGATTTTGTGGCTAAAATCAATTTTTTAGGTGTTTCCAAACAGGCTCTTAGTAATTCGCCCAAAATAAAATGGTAAAACAAACTGGCTGGGATTAGTATTCATTCTAGGGGAGATAAATCATAAATATGATAGTGAGAAGAAACAAGGAGAAAGAATAAAAACTCTAAAAAAGTTAATATTGGGTAACAATTTTTTAGAATTTTCAGTGCTAAAACATCGAAGAATGAACATTGAAGTGGTAAATTTAAATTTAAATTATAATGAAGTATTGATTTGACATTTTTTTTATGAGGTTGTTACTGAAAAAAAGATTTTAAGGAATCACATGCTTTTTTTTTTGGTGGGGGGGGGGGGAATCAATAAAGCCTCAAATTAACTAGATGATATTAAATCATTTTCTACACTCAAATGGCTATAGGCCCAAAAAACATGGTAACAAGCTCAGCAAACTCACTAAAGATGGACCACCATTCTCTAATCTCTTTTTTGTTGATGATGGTTATTTTTACCAAAGCGGGATTTGTTCTATATCGGGGCAGAAAGTGAGTTCTACTAAAATAAGGGTGTCTTTTTCAAATAATGTGAGCCATAATAGAGCTCAACAACTTGGTGATTTGTTGGGATTTAATCGCACCGCTGACTTCGAAAAATATCTCGGCGTCCCTCTTCATCATGAAAGAGTGAACAAACACACTTATCAGTATGTGGTTGATAACATGAAGCAAAGATTGTCTAAGTGGAAGGCCAATACTATTTCTTTTGCTGGTCAAAGCACTTTAACGAAGGCGGTTTTATCTGCCATTCCAATGTATTGTATGCAGAATTCTTCCCCTCCAATAATTACTTGTGAAGAGATTGATAAATGTTCTCGCCAGTTTCTCCGGGGGTCTACCCTTGAGAGGAGACGTGTCCATCTTGTAGCATGGGATGATGTGTGCAAAGAAAAAAGAAAAGGGGGACAGGGTTTACACTTTACAGCATGCAAAGACTCAGAACCAGGCATTCATGATGAAGGCAGGTTTGGGTCTTATCAACAACAAACAGGCACCTTAGGCAAGGGTCATACGGAGCAAGTACAAGTGTGGTATTGATTTAATGCCGAAGGTGGATCAATCTTGTCCTGGTTCTAAATTTTGGAGTGGTCTTAGGAACACATGGGATAAAGTAAAGAATGGAATTGAGTTTACAGTTACTCAAGATAGTGAAGTGGGTGTTAGGTCGAAGCATGAAAAACATGGGCTCTTCACTGTGAAATCTGCATACAGGATGCTAAAGGCCAACACTAACTCTCATGCTTCAGTACGGGAAAAGGTATGGAAGTTACTAGTGCCACAACACTGCAAAACATTCATGTGGCTTATGTTGAGTGATCGACTTCTCACCAACAAGTACGAGAGACACTTGAGTATGATTCCAGTGTGCAGATTTTGCTTTGGGAAAATAGAGGATACTACTCGCGTACCAGGCATTGCCCTAAAGTGAGGAATGTTTGGTTAAGGATTGTTTCACAAGCTCGTCTGAGAGATTTTTTCAAAGCTGACTTGCATGATTGGTGCAAGACAAACCTTCGAGATCAGACAAGGCAAAACTCGACCAGACAGTGTGACATGTTTACTATTGTTTGTTGGCTACTTTGGAAGAGAAGGAATGAGCAGACTTTTGAAGGCAAAAGAACCACTGCAGAGAGTGTACTTGCTCAAGCGAATGCAATTTTGCATTGCATGGGTCAAGCACATACTCGTCTTCTGAGAGTGTAGATGCTTGTCATGAGTTCTATCATACAAGAGGAGCTTCCTTCGATGACAGCACATGGTATTATGATCTGCGTGAATGGGGCATACGCAAGAACAACGGGGATTGTAGGATGTGGTGGGATCTTTAAAAGACTCCGATGGGCATAGGCTTGAAACCGTTCGTGGTAAGACTTGAAAAGGGAGATAATATCACAGCAGAACTATGGGCTAGTTACATGGAATCGAAAAGAGCTTGGGACAATCAGTACAGACATGTGAGAATCTACAGTGACTGCACGGAGGCTTTAGCCTTACTTAAGTCTGCTAGTTATGATCTACATGCCAACAGGGACTTGATTTATGAGATTCAGCAGTTATTGAATTTGGATTGGCAAGTTGAGTTTGCTTATGTTGGCCAAGAGAGCTCTGTCACTTTCTTTGGGATTCCATCTTGTGGCTGCAGTGTCGATTCCAATGTTATTGGTGTCTGATGCTCTTATTTAGTTTGTTTTGTTTTGGTTGCTTGTTTTTTTCTTTTTGAAGTATCCCAAAAAAAAAAAAAAAAAACAAGGTAGCAAGCTGCAATATGTCAAATTTAAGCTTAAAATATCGAATTTATATGGAACCCAATCACAAAAAATTACAATTTTTATTTTTATTTTTTTGTAAAAAAATTGCAACCCTTCCATCAACTCTATAAAATCACTCCAGGTAAAAATATATATATATATATAAAATCATAATTTAAAGATCAATATTCCTCAATTGAGCTCAATTGAGAGAATTCAAATCCTAAAAATCAGCCAGTTAAGTTTGAAAATTTTGAATTAAATGCATATTATTTTTAATTTATAAAATTTGATAATAAATCATTATGAACTTTTAATTCATATAAATTCTATGTTATTAATATGTTGTTTTATGAAGCTTACGTCATATGTCATAATATCATGTGTGACCATAAACTTTTTCATGTATCGATAATCTCCTGATATTTTGATTATATACTAATCATCTTGCAAATGATAGACATATTATTTCAACATATACTATGCACTTTATTAATCCAAACCCTATCTAAATGAATTATAACTTATTTCGCAGCACATAGAGTTTGGATTAATAAATTCAAATTTTAAATGTCACATCTAAAATCTTTTATTTAAGTAATTTAAAAAACTTTAAATGGAAAAGAAAAATAAACTGAGATTCGAAACGAAAATAAAAAAAATTAAAAATAATGAATTTATCTTTATTTTTTAATCGATAAAAATGAAAAAATATATAAAAATTATAAAGATATCAATAATAAAAATATAAAAAAAAACAAAATATTTAAAGTGATTAAAATTTTAAATAACTAAAATGTAAAGAAATTTGAAATTATAAAGGAATGACAATAAGAATTAAACTTACATTTGAATCAAATCTAAATTCATAAATTTGTGTATCCAACTGAAAAATCTAGTTTAAATTTAAATTCAAATCCTCATTAATCTAAATAGACCATTATCAAATTTTAAAAATCTAAGAGACTTACATATGGCAATAAGATGAGCATACTCAAGCCTATTCTTGCCAATGGTCTTGTAACCAACTACAAACTGTTAGCGCTTACCCTCTCTAATTTATAAATAAATAAATAAGCTTATTCTTCATGTCTAACCATTAAAATCATGGGATGCAACAAACCAAATCAGCATCACTCCTGGCATAATGTAGAAAACCAACCATATAGCATTAAAGATTACGAGGATGCATCTCTGAACATAATATCGTTGATTCTGCTGATATCAATATCTGACATGGGCTCAATGGCCATCTCGTCTCCCTCTCCACAGCAATTGAAACACGAGGGATCTCTGCTGAATTCATCTGAAATAAGAAATCTCCAAATTCATTATCATGAATACTTAACAAATGAATCACATCCCTAATAGCAGTGTTAACAACCAGAAAAATCTTTTTGTCAAAAAAAAAAAAAAGACTCCATTGAATTGGCATGCACACTTGTGGGGGGAAAGGCCCATGGGGAAAAATGATGTGTACAACCAAAAAGAAGCCAACATAGAACTCACCATAAATTGTGTACAAAGATGCAGGGGAAGGTGTTGACATGAAGTTGAGGCCAATGTAGAATCCCAGTCCTAACACAATGGTCACCATAACGTAGGTTGGCACCGCCAGAGCCCAATACCTGAAAAGTGAAAGATTAGAGTTTTGTATTCTTTATGTCCTAAAAAGAGGAATTGGCAATGTTTTTCCATGTATATCTTTACAAAGAACTCTAGGAGAAAGAGCTCAGACCCAAGTCCCCCTTAATCCAACGCCCCACTAATTTTTTTTTCTTTTTTTGGGGTCACAACGCCCCACTTCATGTAACAGCTAAATGAAGAGTTTTTTTTTTTTTTTAGATTAATTGATTATACTTGTATCATGAAGCTAACCTTAGTACAACCAAAAAATACCACTTCAAAATTTACATCCTATGAAAGTATTCACAAAAAATATGTTAGTTTATTATCCACCCAAACTAATACATATAGCGTTAATTAGAAGCCCTGAAAGTTACCTAAGCTTGCAATCATAACATGCATCAAGCTTTCTAACCTGCTGGGGTAGTATGTGATCCCAATAGAGTGTAGCCAATGCTCAGGAACATACGCCCATATCAAGAAGATAACTGTTCATAAAGAAAATTGAAAAAATATTTAAAATTTGTTAAATTCCAAACAAAGAGATCACAAGAACATTGACTGACAAAACCATAAGTTGACCAGTGATAAAGAAGAACTTAAAAACAAAGATGAAGAACTTGCACCCTCTAGAATCCAAGACATGAGGTCATTCATACAAAAGCAGCAAACTACAACAAATAATGAAGCTAGTTCATAAAACGGTCACTATAAAAATTGAGTGTTTTGAGATTCTACTTAATCACAAGTGTTATGTCTTGTAGTAATATACACTAAGAAAAAGTAAAAAGCACATAGCATAGCCTTTAGTCTTTTGTTAAGTACTTGAATGTTATTTCAGTTCAACAATCAAAGCATCCTAAAATCAAGTTTTTGTAAATTCATATAACAATACAACAACAAGCCTTATATCATAAAATGAGATCAGTTGTATAAATCATACAACCAACTCTTCAAATATATCATTCACTAATAGATTTTATTCGATAACTTCCTTAGATATCCTTCTTGGTCTCCCTCTACTTCTCACGGAGCTGAAGACCATAAACTCAACCCTACTCACCGGTGCCTTCATTGGCCTTCAATGGAACTAGTATATCACAAGTATGAATAGATAACAACCCAAAGAAACTTGGACACACACAGCACATTGATCTATGCAGTTACAAATGTATCGATTTCCAAATACAGAAAGTAATTGACTTCTTCAAAGTAAACAGCCTTATGCAAGGTGAACTTAGACCATCTACAAATAAAATCTAGGTACAAAAATATATACCACCATTAAGTGGCAATTGAAAACAGTAGAGAAATCTAAGAACGTCACAGCATCAAAAGGAACTCAAATAAAGATAAAAAGAAACAAGTAAAGCTATATTTATTTTTAAAAAAAAAAAAGCATGATATTAAACAAGACCTGAAGCAACAACAACCGTTATGGATCCCACAAAACCATATACTTCTGAAGGCTTTGGTCCATGCTCTCCAGACAACCCAAACCCAGTTTTGTCATCAGGATCTTGAAAGGACACACGCTGTTTCGACAGACTGAGAATTCTTCTAGGACTATTGACCGAGTGGGGGCTTTCCATCTCATAACCCTTCAATTGCTTAAGCTTCTCACATACACATGTTGCACCGTAGTTGAATCAGAACATGAGGCAAAATTCAAGAGTCCTGCAATCGCTGTAAGAAGTGAGTGAGTTATCACATCCATCAGCCAAACAACTAGTGTGACAATAAACTTGAGTCATATAACTGATACATACCTATCAGCCATAGAAAAGGAGCGATCGACAGGAGAGAAAAGTAGCGGAAAGCTTCAGCTGCCTTAGGTGGCCTTGATATGATGGATTGCCCTAGGAGGTGTCCAGGTCAGTTTCCTTGGTGTGTAGTCGAGACAGCGGCTAGCTCTCGGCAACAGAGGTGTTGTCCGATGTGACCATGGACGAATTGGGTTTCGACGTCGCACAGCAGATAAGTTCCCAACTACTTCATAGTGCAGGGATGCAGGAATTCACGAATTAGAATTTATTTAAAATTTGTAATATAATAATTATTATTATAATTTATAGTTATAATTTATTAATGATCGTGATTAAGTATAACTACCAGGCCACCTAGACTTGAACAAAGGCACTACTTTTGCGACTGGATTAAATCTACCTCAATCTCTGTTAATATCCCTTGGTTGCTGTTGGGGGATTTTAACCAAAGCCTAAATTTTGAAGATAAACTGAGTATTAGCCCAAGTTCTAGCGGGATGGCTGAATTTAAGGACTGTTTAAATACAGCAGAATTGCTAGAAGTTAGGCAATTTGAACCAAATTTTACTTGGTGTAATGTGAGAAAAGAACTTGCAAATGTTAAGGAGAGACTTGACATGGCTTTCTCTAATCTACAATGGATGGAAGCATTCCCCCACTAGAATGCAAGTACCTTAGCAATTGCAGCTTCAGACCACTCACCTATTCTTTTCTCTACCAACACCCAGCACAGACGCACCAAACTAAAAAGATTTTAAGCTCATTGTATAACCTGGGTGATTGTGAAGATGTAATAAGAAATAGGTGGAAGCAGTATAACTCCGGTTCTCCAAGTTATCAACTTACAAGCATGCTGGACAGAACTCTCAACACTCTCCACAACTGGAGTAAAAGAAAGGTAGGCAATTTGGAGAATCGCCCAGCTGGAGAAAGAGATTCTTCATATCTCAAATAAATTTCCAACTCTTCTTCTATAAATGAAGATCTCAAGACTATTTTTGCTGAAAAGAAGCACGAAATGGAGTTCATTTTTTTATTATGAGAATAGCTTCTGGAAGCAAAGAACTAAGATTAGATGGAATTTGGAAGGAGAAAGAAATATGAAGTACTTCCATTCAGTCATTAGCAGAAGGAAAATGAAAAACTATATTCAGTCGGATATGAAAGATGATGATTCTTGGACTTATGATCAGAAGGAAAACCAACAGATTGCTTTTAATCATTTTCAAGGAGTTTTGACAAGGAACTCATTCACTGACCCTAATTCCTTGGAAGATTAGATGCAAGACTCATACCTTCCATCTCTATCGGATGAGGGCAAAATCTTCCTCCAACAGCAGATCACATTAGAGGAACTAAAATCAGCTGTCTTCAATTTACCAAAGGATAGTTCTCTGGGCCTGGATGGCCTATCATGCCAAGTTCTTCCAAAATCACTGGGATTTGGTCAGGTTTGAGGTTTTTTCTATGATTCAATCTTTTTGGAACTCTGGGTTTGTGCTTAAATCTATGAATCAGACTTTTATTACCTTGATTCCAAAAGATCAAAAAGGTCCAAACTATTTCTGATCTAAGACCCATTAACCTATGTAAAGTCACATACAAAATAATCTCTAAGATCCTTTGCAATAGGCTAAAAAAGGTACTCTCCAATCTTATTGCTCCATTTCAAAAGGCTTTTCTGAAGGGCTGTCTCATTACTGACAGTGTTCTGTCAGCTAGTGACATTGTGAATGTTATCCACAACTCTAGAAAGGGGAGGAAAAATTTGGCAGCTCTACAATTTGACTTCTCAAAAGCTTCCGATAGAATATCATGGAGTTTCATTGAAGCTTTTATGAAAAGGATGCGGCTTCCAACAAAATGGATTCAATTAATTTGGCTTGCATATCCAATGTCTCTTATCAGATCATTTTAAAAGGTCAGCTTTCTCAACAGTTTGCTCCCGCAGGTGGAATAAGACAGGGGGATCCTTTATCACCCTACGTTTATATCTTAGCATCAAATGCACTTTCTTGTCTGATTAAAAAACAAGATGCAAGCAAATGGGAAGGAATTAAAATCTGCAGCTTGGCTAAACCAATATCTCACATCTACACAGATGATTCAATCCTATTTTTTGAGTGCTCTAAAGAGGGGCCAATTTATGTCAAAGAGCTCCTAGAAACTTTTTGCAGAGGGTCAGGGCAGATAATTAATTTCCAAAAATCAAACATTGTTTCTAGTCCTAATGTCTCTAAGGGTACCAAGAATGACCATTGCAAATTTTCTCGGAGTCAACAACACTGAAAGGCTAGGGAAATATTTGGGAATGCGGGTAGATACAGGTAGGAATAAAGAGCACATCTATCAGCATATTGTGGAATCGATACAAAAAAGAATCAGCTCTTGGAAAGGGAGACTCCTCTCTCAAGCTTCAAGGCTCACTCTGATTAACTCTGTTTTATCTGCTGCCAACATATATCAGCTATCCTGCTACAAGTTGCCCCTAAAATATTGTAATCTCATTGACTCATTATGTGTTGACTTTTTCTGGGGGGTTGAGGATGGTAAAAAGTGAATGCATCTCATTCATAGAGAAGCTCTCTTTACATCAAAAAAGGAGGGAGGTCTGGGTATTAAGCCTATTCACCAAGTCAACATGGCTCTCCTAGGAAAGCAATTCTGGAGGATTCTGAACTCACAAGAAGGTTCACTTACGGGTGAAACTTTGAAGAAGAAATATTTTGATTAAAGCAAGCCAGAAATCTTCAAAGTGCCCTATAATTCTTCTTTTTTGCTGGAAAGGGATTAAGGACGGTGCTTATTTAATAATCCCAAATTTGAAGTGGAGAATTGGCACTGGTCACAAGATCCCCCATTGCTCACCCTTTATGGTGGCTGAGAGATAGGAATTCTTATGTCTCCACAAGGGTATCCAGTGCTGGTGATCTTGTCTCTAAAACTAGTAATCCATGAAATCCATTTAATTAGAATACCAATCTAGTCAAAGAGATATATGACCCAATTATTGGTGAAACTATCTTAAATCTGCCTATATCAATTACAGATAGGCAAGACAAGATAATTTGGGATGGCAACAACCAAGGTAGCTATACTGTCAAGGATGGCTTTCGATCTTTAATTTCTTCAACCAATTCTTCTAAAATTCTGAAGCATGAATCCGGACACTGCTCTGGAAACTGGACAATGCTCCTAAATATTTGCTTTTCATTTGGAACTCGGTCCATAAATCTATTCCAGTTGGGAAAATTTTAAAGGAACATCATATAAACAAAACCTCTCCTTGTCCTTTTGGGTTTGATCAAGAGGAATCAATTGAACGTATATTTTTCAAATGCCCTTATGCCAACGCTGTTTGGTTTGGTGCCTTGGGTATACAAACTGAATACATTCATCAAAGGAGCCTTCAGAACCTGGCTCCCAGATCTTATTTTGGAGCTTTGTAAAAAGGGAGATTATGAATGGCTAAGGAAAATAATTCTCAATGTTCAATTTTCTACGGTGGAAACGAAATCAAACAGCACGTCAGGTTACAGATATTTCACCAGAAAAATCAATTGAGGAATACCTTTGGTGGCTGCTATTCGAAATCTCCCCTGTCAAGATGATACCACCATCTGATTTTCCGCAATGATAGAACCCTGAGCTCACCTTCAATATGGAGTGTCTACAGACAGGGCTGGACAATCTGGGTCAGGAAGAGGAAACTTCTGGAAAGGAATTCTTGGGCATCCAACATCAGATTTCAGGGATCTCATATAGTATCTTCCCCAACTTCTCAGAGTCTCAACCAGAAAGTTAGCAAGGATCCACTTGCTACCATCAGAGCTGCTTTCTGCTAGATCAGGAACCTCATGGTTAGCAGAAATCTTTTCAGTGTTCGGATCGGGTTCGTTGGTTTTCGAAGGAAACCGGCTCTCAGAGGAGAGCAGTGCTGATACAGGACATCTCCACTTTGCTCTCGATTTTCTCTGTAACGTTTACTTTCTTGCATGTGACTCAGAGAATTTTACTTTTTCTTCCGAGAGGATGACAAGTAAATACTTTAGGGGCATTAATGTTAAAAATTTTAGTGTTGAAATATGAGAGGATAATTAAATTTAGAAATATTAATATTAAAAAATTTTAATTTGATATTGATCATTTTACTTATCATTCTCCTTCCGTTGGACCTGGGGTCTTTGCTTGATTTCTTTTTATTTGTTATCTTATTGTAACTTGTACTCTTGTCTTTTCTTTAAAAAAAGGAAAAGGAAAAAAGTGGTTATCTAAAAGTACAGTGAAAGCTGGAAAAAAAAGAAAAGAAAGAAACTAACCCAATTTACCAATTTCAGAGAGTCTTGTGATCGCAAGGTAATTTATCCGAAGATCAGAAGACAGCCCCGTTGCACAATTGATGATTTCAGTCATAACTACTCTTACACTGCAATATCTTACGAATATTTTGCTTTATGTCATTGTTATTTATGAGATTGCCAACTTGAATCTGAATGGAAATTTTCATTGGAGCTTTTATAATGTAAATAACTATATATAATTATATAATTAAAGTGATATATATAACACAAATTTATTTAAACATAATTCAAATCATAATATTACATATTATAATTATTGTTGCCAAACTATATTTCATACTATTCATTTAAATTTTCATTTTCAGTTTAATTTTCATAAAAATAACTCCATCTCAATAGCTTTATATTATGCTAAAAATTTGCTTATATTTGTTTTTATTCAAATTGGCAAGCAAAGTTTTAATTACAAAACAAAGGGTTATAGTTAAGAGAAATTTGCATCCATTGACTAACATTCTTCATAAAGTTATTTAATCAAGTAAGTGTGTCTATGTTATTGTTTTGGAAAGAGTAGTATTTCCAACATGTTGAAATTAATAATTAATTAATTATTCTATAGATAAATAGAAAATAATGCCACATGCAGTAGGATTACGTTTGGTCTCAAGGGCAAGGCAGCATTTTCTTTCCCTTGCTTCACATGATCTCGTACTCGAATCAGTTAGAACCTTTTTGAACAACAATCAAATATGAAATATTGAAATTGCAACGCACCCACATGCACGATTCCAACCCCAATTTCATTCACTAGCAAGTTCGTCCGAGCTTGATGAACACCAAGTCTACAAGCGAGTCGACCACTTTTGCTAGGGTGATAGCGTGAATTCGCCGAGTCACTCACGAGTTTGACAACAGTGAGTTTATCCATGCTAAAAATCATATTTTTGTTGACAGAAACAAATAAAAAAATGGGTTATCGAGTATTGGTGTTTTCTTTTTTTTTGCTGCTAGAGGTGTTTTAGAAAAATTAATCCTTAATTTATGTAATGAACATGACTTTTTTAATTAAAACCGTGCGTCCTAAAGTCCCTTGCTATGATTCCCATAGATGCAAATACTCAAAGATAAAGATAAAGATAAATTGAATATTTATGAATTTGGAGCGGGCATGATGTAACTGATCTTATAGAGAAATTATAAAAGAACTAGGATTAAAAATGAAAGAAAAATACTAAGCAACGTGACATAGAATATAGATTGAGTACTGAACGAACATGTTGTTGATATGTGTTGGCCCACTAGGTCCTGCAAATCTACTTAATGCTAGAGATTGTAGAGTGATATTGGATGCATATTGATGTACTTTGATATTTGATACAAAGAAAATAAGATGTTCGGACGAGAGAAGTTGAAATTGATTTTTCTTTTTTGTAGTTTTTTAAGGATGTTTTGGATGCTTGATGCTTAACATACATAAAGTTTCAGTTGCTCTATGTTCTTGCAACTTCTGATATTGGAGCTATGTTGGTGCATATTTTCCAAGATCCCTTCCAATTGTCACATATGTCTGCCATGGGCAATTTTTGTTGGACAATTAAATTCCTTGTTTTTCTTACGTATGTTTTTTTATTAGAGATAATCCTATTTAAGTTACTATTGAACACTAAATGTGAGTACCTATCTTAGTAGAGATTTAAATTTCAATTCACCATGTTATGAAGCACTAACATATTCCGCCAAAATTTTTTATTAGGAAAATTTTACTAAGGATCTCTTGGTCGTAGATAATAAAAAAGAGGACCATAAGATTTCTCATATCTCAATGTAAGGCTTAGGGCTTGATTTGATATTAAATTTCAAAGCTAAATGACAATATTGCCCTTCATTGTAGGAAAAAAAGGTTGAAGTTCAATGAAGGAAGGTGATAGAAGAGACAAACGGAAGCGTGAGAACACTCTCTCCCTCTCATTCTCCCTCTCTCTTGCTTCTTCAAGCATTAGCAAATTATTTGGCTTTGTCTAACACCTCAATTTTATTCTTTAAAGTGCTTCTACTCGTTCTTTTTTTCTTCATAATGATATTACGAGCCTCATGAAAGTCATTCAAAATGATTCATTGATCTGCAAGTGACTTCTCTATAGTTTTTACTCAAACCATCTTCTTTGAAGGGTTGGACATAGGATTAGATTGAATCAAAGATTTGAGAGGTTTACTAATAGATTAGGTTGAGAGTTTGTGGTCGAGAAAGTGTTTAGGAGATGATCACAGAACAAATTTGGCTTTAGTAAGGAGATGGTGATTATCGGCTTGAGAGAATCTAAGTTTCCTACATATAGGATTTTGAGATACAGGTAAGAATGAGACAGAGGCACCTCTTATAACACATAATCATATCGAAATGTTGCCAACTTATCGGTATGAAAAAGCAGCCATTGGAAGTAAATTTTAAATGAACGAATGAAATTAAAAGATCAAGATAGAGAAGACATACTTGTCATACTAGTATGTCTCTACTATATCGATATGTGTAGTTCATATTGATATGTACTGGTTCTATCAGTATGAGCATGGGTTTTTAAAACAAACTCTATCATACTAGTATATTACGTTGATACCGGTATGAGTTGTTCATACTGGCATGTACCAGTTCTACTGGTATGAGTTTAGGTTTCACTTAACTTAAAAAATTCTAAGTGACTTGTTCATCACCCTATCATATGTGATTCATTACCCTATTGCATATTGTTAATTTTCTTACATTACTTGTTCATTATAATTGTAAGTTTTTATAACAATCTATATCATACCAATATATTGTGTTGATATTAGTATGAGTTATTCATATTGGTATATACTAGTTCTATTGATATAAGTTTAAGTTTCACCTAACTTAAAAAATTTCAAGTGATTTGTTCGTTGCTCTACTATATGTGATTCATCACTCTACAATATCTTGTTAATTTTCTTATGTCACTTATTCATTACAATTGTGGGTTTCTATAACAACCTTTATCATACGGATATGTTATCACATTGATATGTTGTATTGATATTGGTATGAGTTATTCATACTGGTATGTATTAGTTCTAGTAGTATAAGTTTGGGTTTCACCTAACTTAAAAAATTTCAAGTGATTTGTTTGTTGCCCTACTGTGCATAGTCCATCACCTCACAACATCTTGTTAATTGCCTACCTTACTTGTTCATTACAATTGTAGGTTTTTATAATAGCCTTTGTCATGTTGGTATGTTGTGTTAAGACCAGTATGAGTTATTCATATTAGTACGTACTAGTTCTATCAGTATGAGTTTGGATTTCACCTAATTTAAAAAATTTTAAGTAACTTATTCGTCATCCTACCATGTGTGGTTCATCATTCTGTACCATCTTATTAATTTTCTTACTTCACTTGTTCATTACAAACTTGAAAAATTAAGTGTTGGTTGGTTTCATATTTAAGTGACTTGTTCATCATCATATTGTGTGTGGTTCATTATCTTATGAAAATGTTGTTAATTTCCCTACCTAATGTATTTATCATGGCATTCTAAGTTGACATAGAACTACATATTTATAGTTCATTTTTCTTGTTCAATGTAGTTGCAAATGAACATAAATGACTAATTCATTCTTATCCAATGACCTGTTCATATATACACAAAAAGAACAATTTTAAATAATTTCATGACAACAATAATATGCAAAGAGTTATAACATTGACATTATTGATAATTGGAACGAGTAATTCAGTTTCACCTTTTCTTGGCATTATCACTTGCAAGGAGTTGCATCATGACATCCTAATTAGGGTTGTTCTCTTGGTTCCCATCTAATGGAGTTGTAAAATCTCACATTGGCTTTTCTTCTCAAGGTTGACTTTGTCATTAACTCACTACTCTGTTCACTACTTGACTGCTTCTACATCCAAAAATTCAGCAATGAGGTCAAAGGCAGTGGTTGACTTTGTGGTGACTCATTCAACTAAGATTCTTGGGTAAGAAGTCTAGTGACAAAGGGTTCGCTGATAAAGTTTGTGAACCTCATTATGCCAATCGTCTTCTATGTGTTTGTAATGCTTGCAAGACGTGTTCGCAAGATGTTTCTTTTTTCTTGATAGTTTTCTCACAATGAGGGCAATTTTGTTATTTATTTTTCAAAATTAATATCAAATTAGTCCTCAAGCCTTACAATGAGATATTAGAAATCTTGGAGTTATCTTTTTCATTGTCTACAATTAAGGGGTTCTAAGTGACATTTTCCCTTTTTATTTCTAAAAGCTCTTTTTAGGTATCTTTTTCCCTGCTCACATATTTTTCTATTAGAGATAATCTTGTTTAAAGTATTGTTAGGTATTAAATGTGAGCACTTCTCTCACTAAAGATTTGAACCTTGTTTCAGACCTTTTGAATTTGGGTCAAAGTAAAATTAGAATATGGCCAAGTAATGGGTCGATTTGTTAGCCTAATTGTTTAGGCTTGGGCTTGGCGTATTAGGGCCATTAGCCAAATTTGGTCTTATTCTTGTCATTGCAATTAAACCTGGACCGAATCGGATTGACCAGTCCAAATTCCTCAATTCGTTCCAAAAAAGAAGCCCAATAATAACATAGCCATTAATCAAATGGGTCTGAGATTGAGCCCAATTCAATTTCCGCCCGCTCTTCCACTGAGTCGAATCGCTCGACTCGGCTTGGCTAAAGAAAACCTGAGAAACGCAAGGAAAGAAGCGCGGAAAGGGCAGGAACGGAGAAGGAAGCAAAGCAATTCACAGTGGTTGCTACACGCACTGGATTGAGCGAGTGAATCTACAGTGATGGACCCGCTTGAACATCTCGTTGCGCAAATTGTAGGACTCTCAGACGCTGACATCCCTCGTCTTCTCGGTATCTTGAAGGCTTCAGATGACTTGCTTCGCACTGACTCGATTCATTGGTCTTCTATTCTGAGCCAACTTGACCCCTCCAAGCACTCTCTTGGTTTTCTGTATATACTGTAAGTCTAAGTTTAACGGACAGACACTCTTTCTTTCACTTTTTCTTTCGATTTTTTTTTAAGAGCAATTTTAGGTTTTGTTTGTCTAATATGTTTCGTAATGAGTTAGGGTTTAGTGTTTTGAAGTGAAAAATCTGAAATCATGATTTTATCGGGGTTCCACATACAAGTGAAGGACAATGTAGCCTTTGTTGGTTGTGGGAAAGAAGGAAATAATCGCTGACCATCTTTCTTATTTGGTTTTCATTAGGAGAATTACTGGTTCGGGAATTCCTGGCAAACATATTTTCCAACTATGGAACATCAACAAAATCGAAGAGTTGCTATGAACCTTTAAAACGTAATTATGAATTAACTAAACACTACTTTGTCAAGTGATCACTGATTTGAAAGTTTTTCCTGAAGATTTAAGAAACTATTTTCATCCCAAGATAATCCACTCCTGTTTAATTCGTCAGAGATTGTAAGAAAGCATTGTGTTTGGCAGAGTTGCAAGTTGCAAGTTTATTTTTCTCCTCTTTCCCTGTAACCAATGGGATATGATATGATTCCTGGATTCAACTGGATGTGGTGTTTGTAAAGATGATCATGTTTACAAATCCTAGCTATGGAAGCTGATAATGTTATGCATGATGTCACTTTGTAAGTCAAATTAAGTTGCAGTTGTTTCTTATTGAAAGATGTAAATATTTTCCTTCATATTCATCTATGTTGACAGAGAGGCATCTACAGCTGGTCCAATTACAAAAGAGCAAGCAGAGACAGTAGTTCCAATTATCACCAGCTTTATTGATGCTTGCGCAGCAGAACAAATTCGGTCCATACCTGATAAGTGTATTCAATTTTGTCTCCTGCTACATTTGCACTGTAGTATTGAACTATTGATGCCATTATTCTTCCTATCTATGTTGTATAAGTATTAGTTTGTTCATTTTTATAGTCATATCTCTATGCAAGAGGTTCAAGGATCAAGTGATGCTGCTTCAAACACCCATACGGGGGGTGGCTCCTATGCTGACTGCTCTTAAGAAACTTCAGACCTCTACTGAACACTTGACTCCTCTGCATCCAGAGTTTCTTATGCTTTGCTTGTTGGCAAAGTGCTATAAAACTGGTCTATCAGTATTAGAGGATGATATTTTTGAAGTAGACCAGCCAAAAGACCTCTTTCTCTACTGTTATTATGGGTATGTTCATTTCCTCCCCATTTCATTCTTAAAAAGGGGAGGACGGGGTAGTTTTTTCCCAAGTATCTTAACATTGATGATGTTTTATTGCACTTGTTTCTATCTGAATTCTCGATTGTGCTAGAGAGCTGTTCTTCTTTTGACATAAAATTATGGAAATCCATATGTAAACATTGTGCGCATAGATTTTAGGCTTTTAATGTGTTGATACTAAGAGAATTTGTGCTAGAAGTCTTGAACAAACTGACTTGTTTTTATAGTTGTAAATTGTAAATCACAACATGGTTGTCAGAATGTAAAGAGAAAGGGACCAAAAAAAAAAAAAAACGAAATGGCTCTCACAACCACAGCAAAAATTTATATCAAATTTGAGATGCAATTTTTTCAAAACTGGACTGTAAATTTAATTTCAAAGATGCAAAACTAAGGATTTATCTTTGTTACTACTTGACCTTTATGATTTGTGCTTCTGTATTGAGTATTTGTATTGGCATATACTAGTTTCTTCTAGCCTTACTTTGACCTGCGTCTTCTAGTCACTACAAATCATGCAATTCCGTGGCAATTTAAATCTGCACAATTTCTTCTGATTTAATCTTAGCTGTAATCATAATCATTGAGACGAGTAGGTGGATCAGTTTTAAACTTATGAATAGAATCATAAATGCACCAACATTGTGGTTTTGCTTCTGGTCACGAGTCTTTGGCAACAGTGAGGAATTTGCCTATATCTGACTTTTGAATTTGTATTAGAGGTATGATATGCATTGGACAGAAGCACTTTCAAAAGGCATTGGAGCTTTTGCATAATGTAAGTCATTTATGCTAAAGCTATTGCTTATACAAGTCATAGTTCTTTCTAATTGTAACCTTGTGCTTGGTAGCTTATGAGTTACTTTCCAGGTTGTAACTGCTCCAATGTCTACAATAAATGCTATAGCTGTTGAAGCTTACAAGAAGTATTTATTGGTTTCTCTCATTTGCCATGGACAGGCAAGCATTGCTTTTCATCTCTTTTAAGTTGAGATGGATTATAGGAATTATGTTTCATTTTATGTTTTTTTAAGGACCATTTCAACTCGAAAGCTCTTTGGATAAAGAGCCATGAATTGTTTCATTAATCTGTAATCCACAATGCTCTTCATATATTTAGTTAGAATTCATGTTCCACTATTCTTAAAAAGGAAACTACGAAAAGTGATTTTTATGTGGCCTTTTATAAGTTGAAGTTTCAAATGTTGCCCTATACTTGTCATTTAACATATTATGTTATACTCAAGAAAGGCACTTGTATTTTTAGCAATTTTCCATCACGGCCAATTAATTAAGCGTTGCTTCTGCAATCCCCCCTCCCTCCCTCCCTCCCTCCCTCCCTCTCATTTTATTTTGTTATGTTTGTTGACATGTTATAAATGTGGTGGCAGTTCTCTACCAGTCTTCCTAAGTATGCTTCTTCTGTAGCTCAGAGAAACCTAAAGAACCTCTGTCAGGTATTATTTCCATTGAGTCACTACATTTTTGGATCATATTTAGAATATCCTGCTAAATTATGCATTGCAGGGATCAATCCCAATGCCTTTTTAATCAATTATCCAATAATACAATTCTTTTATTTTTAAAGGTTTTTCCCTAGTTAATTCTCTGATGTATCTGGTGCTATCTGTGGTTCTTCTTGCTTGTTTGGCATGATTGGGAGGATGGTTTAGAACTGGGATGGGCAGGGTGAAATGGTTTGAGCATCTTAACCATTGGTTGTATGTTTAAAACCATCCTAATCCATCATATGCCCAAAATTTCTAACCACTCCAGATTGGGTGATTTGGAATGTCTTGGATCAGTGTTGTTGGATGTTGAGGCAAGGCCCCAAATAGCTCTAGCGTCTCTCATGTCATGATTCATGGGAGGTGTTGCCTTCACTATGTCACTGAAAGGCAAGCACCTTTGGCTACTTTTACCAGGAGAAAGTTGAGAACCTTTGACTGCAGCTTGGATCTTTATAAATTTTGCATTTCTGTTGTTAAATCTCTCTACTTGTTTATTTGTTAGTTGTTACAAGGTTTAGCTTCACTATCACTAATACTAATGAAAACTTCACTCTCCAAACCCATTCCACCCTATTAATGATACTGTAACATACTATCAACGGGAATCAGATACTGTTCATTTTTGCCATAACACGTCCTATTGATGGAGTGAGTTGTCTCCTCCACCCCACTCTGGGATGAGAGAACAAGGAACATAAGGGGGAGGAGGCAGATCAGTGAAATCATTGGTTAATAAAATATACAGCCCTAACTCTTGTACTCATATATAATAGAGGAATCTGCTGAGAAATCCTTGCTGCGATATGCTCAGGTCGCTGTTTACGGGAACCACCCTTAAAATCAATTTCTGGCTTTGCTCAATAGAATTATTTAATTAATTTTGTGGTGCGATCAGCTTAAAGGGAAGCAATCCTTACTATTTGTCATGTTTATGTTATTTGTCCTTTTCCCTTTTTGGTTAATTAGTTCTGCTTTAGCAAATTATAATTTTGCATGTCACTCTAGTATTCTTGTATTCCTGCATTTGATTGATTGCTTTTCATTTGAGCAGCCTTACATTGAACTGGCAAATGCTTACGGGACTGGAAAAATTGCAGAGTTAGAGACTTATATCCAGTCAAATGCCGAGAAGTTTGAATCTGTAAGTTCATTTGTGACTTTATTTTTCCAAAAAAGCATCAACTATTTTGACTGAAGCATTCTCTCTTATTATTCATTTGTATGACATATGATAACATCTCTAAAACTATTTCTGGTTTTGCATCACCTGAAAAAAAATTATGGTTTCAGGACAACAACCTCGGCCTGGTTAAGCAGGTTGTATCATCCATGTATAAGCGAAATATTCAGAGATTGACTCAGACATACTTGACACTTTCTCTACAAGATATAGCCAACACAGTGCAGTTAAATAGCTCAAAAGAGGCTGAGATGCATGTGCTACAAATGGTGATCCTCGGAATGCCAAGTTTGTTAATGATTTTCATGTGGAGTTGACATTGTACCACTAATAAAATATTTTCAAATACAGATTCAGGATGGTGAGATATATGCAACAATCAACCAGAAGGATGGAATGGTCAGATTCTTAGAGGATCCTGAGCAGTATAAAACATGTGAGATGATTGAGCATATTGATTCATCAATCCAGAGGTACTCTCCTTGTGTGCTTATAAATTCCAAGTGCTAAGCTCATCAAGCATGTTGTCCTTCTTTTCTGTACTTGTCAGCATTTCATATACCATCCTTGTCTTCTCTGTAAATATGCTGCCAACGTGGACTTTATTCTTTATCCTTTCTATCTCCATCGATCATATGGCACGCCTCTTATGCTTATTTAATTTCCAAATTACTTCCCAGGATAATGGCACTGTCAAGGAAGCTAACAGCGATGGATGAACGAATTTCATGCGATCAGGTTTATCTGTCCAAGGTGAAAACTGTGTTCTGTACTCACCCTGTAATATGAACTTATATTTAATGCATCGATCGCTAACAAGGGTGACCTCATTATCAGGTTGGGCGAGAGCGACAGAGATATGACATGGATGACTTTGATACGGTTCCAACGAAATTCAACATTTAATGCAAAGCTTCCTTGTTTTTTTTATACAAGGCTTTAAAATGATGCAATTGATGCCCATTATTATGATATGTGAGTAAGGAAGTGGATTTTCTATTCTCTGGCTGTGAAATGTAAAGAGTGTATGTGGTTTATACCTAGTTTATTCGTGAATAGTCTGGGATAGTGTGTTAAATTTCTTTACTTGTTGAATCTCTGCAGTTTTGTTTACTTCATTTTTTGGCCAATTCTGCACGTTCTATAGTAGCTGTTAGGTGCAGTGAGAGAGAGAGAGAGAGAGAGAGAGAGAGAGTGGAAAGTAGATATAAAGATAAAGTATATCTTACTTATGCTCTCGCGTTACTCTCTCCTGAATGCATTGTTTTAGAAGACCACTAGTTGTTGTGAAACTTTCAAACCTTGTTCTAATTAGGCCCGCCCTATATTCATGGCAGGGGAATTGTGCGGGTGCTCAGTTTCTTGGTTTCTTGGTTTTCTTTCGTAGTTTCCTACATAATTGTTCTCTTGCATCATGTTTTCTTGGGGATGAGATCATTAAAAAAATCATTTAGGTATGTTTAAATTCTTAGTGTGTTTGGATTAAAAAAATTTGCATCCAATGCTAGAATGAACTAATGTTAGAAAAAAATATTGATTATGATGTGATTTATGTTTGGATTTTTTTTTTTAAGTCAGCTGGATAAATTAAAATTTGTTTAGATAATTTGATTCAAAATTCAATTGAGATGTATAATAACAAAAATGGATATAAATTTACACACATACACACATATAAATTTGTGATTAATTTAATATTTTTTAGAAAAAAATATTAAAGTAAAAATTATGATTTTTTAAAAAATAAATTGTAAATATAAAATACAGTGATAAATAAAAAAAAACTTAATGTTTAATAACGTATAACTAAATGATAAAATTTAAAATATTTAGTTATAAAAACAAAAATAAATTCAGTTTTCCAAGATAACAAGCACATGAGTATTGTTTGAGAAATAAAGAAACAAACAATTCTAATACTTTACGTGTATCATCAAATTAGAACTTAAATAGATTATTAAAAAAAAAATAGAACTTCAATAGCATGTAAAGAAATGAAATGTTCATGGTATGATCCTTAGCAATAGGCCATAAATTCAATCCTCTCATTGGCTGAATTTTGAAACCTCAGACCAACTTAATTGAAAAAGCTCTTAATATCCTATTCTTTGATGGCAATCTTGAACATCCCTTATGGGAAATTATTCATGACCCACAGCATCATCACTAATCTTATTGGTTTCACCATTTATCACTCTTCTTACAACAACATCACATGATCAATGCAACAAGAAAAATAGGACTTGGCTTAACAGACACTATAAGAAGCAAGTTCGGTAAACTTTAAAGCAAATGGCGTCTACGAAAGGCATTATGGTACAGTTCTGGCAGGCGAAAAAGGGGTGCAACTCTATCTCAATACAAGAAGAAGAGACAACGGTGAGTAGCACGAAACCTGGTACACAAGCAACACACAGTTGACGAATGGCAATGGCAAGGACAATCGCTAGTTAGGTTTGCGGCGAGCAAAAGGAGATGAAAACCTTGAAGACGGGTGAAGGCAAAGCAAATCGAAGGGAGAAAAGATGGATAAAAAAAATAAAAAAGCATTAAATAAACTCAATGTCCATCGCCAAACTCAACGCTTGGCAAAGAAGCTCCCTCATGTAGCTTTGGTGAAAACACTTGTTATACACCCAACGCCTGTTCAATTTTAATTTTTCCGAAACGATATTTGATGGGTTTTTTACATCCCAACTTAGGTTTGGATTATCCTAACCTAAGTTAGGATATTAACCAAACATAAACTTAAGTAGTGTTTGGATTGATGGATTTGGATATAGATTTAAAATCTTGCATTTCAAATCTCACATTTAAAATTCATGTATTTAAAATCTCTTGTTTGAATAGTTTAAAAAATTTTAAACGAAGGAGAGATAAACTTTGATTTGAAACAAAAAAAATGGCAAGTTTATTTTTATTTTTTAATTGACAAGAGATGAGAAAAGATATAATTATAAAAATATTAATAGTGTAAACGTGAAGAGAACAAAATGTTTAAAGTGATTAGAATTTCAAATGCTTAAGGTATAAAAAGAATTCAAAATTATAAAATAATTATATTTTGAAATATATTTGGATTTGAATCAAATTCAAATTCATGTCTGAATTGTTTCTTTCGAATCTAGTGTGCAAGGCAAGGAGGAGTTTTATTTCAATTTGTCCTGAGTTGTTTACGTTGGTGTATTGGCACTGGGCTTTTGTGTTTCTGGTGTGGTTGCCACTTTCTCTTTGGAGAACACGTCGAGCAGGATTGATTTAGATTACTCCTTTCCAGTGCGGCACAACTCAAGAGTTGGACTAAATTTTTGGTGCCTTTTGTGTTTACATTTTGATGTTACTATATTTGAGGACTTCTCTGTTGGGCGTGGTCCTTGTAAATCTATCCAGACCCACATTCTGGTTGAGCTTGACATCCGTCTGTCTACTGGGTACAGCTTTGTGTGGCCTTGTCTTGGTTATATTTTTGCTGTTTCTCTTAGGCTTATTGGTGGAAAGATTAAGGATGACTTAAGATGGGTTCCTCCTTAAGTGGCTCAGTTCTATCTCTGTTAAAAGTTTTTTGATATGAAGGATTGTGGTGTTCTACACTAGTGCAGGCTGTGTTTGTTGCTACATTTTGTTCTGAAAGGACTTGCTTGAGTTTAGTGGGTTTCTCAAATCTTGGCAAAGCTCTTGAATTTTATCGCTATGAGTGGATTCCAAGACTTCAAATGGCAATTGCTTTTTCATTTGCTCAGACTGTTTTTGGGGAGAAGCACTCGAAAAAGTGAGCGTTTCAACCCCCTTCATCCTTGGCAGTGATCCTAATTGTTGATATGGCTCAAGCTAGGAATTCTAGTCACTGAGTATTTTGTTTGCTCCTTTGTTTCTGTTTATTTTTGTTGCTCTTTTCTTGCTGTTTCTCTCTTGTGGATGCTGGTGTTGCTAGTTTGGTTTCTCATATATGACACATTTCCCTTTCGCCAAAAAAAAAAAAATCACAAATTTTTGTGTACCTGATTTAATTCAAATCTAAATCCAAATTCTCATTAATCCATTAATAAAAATGAGCATGTTTGATGCTTATAATTAGACAAGGGTGGATCGCTAGATAGTAAAGAATAAGTTAAACCATTCATAGTATTCTTAATGCCATCACCCCATTTTTTAGAATTTATTAAAAAATTTTAGAATTTTATATTTTGTCATTTATCAATTTATTTCAACTTTTTAATCGTCAAAAATAATGCTTCTTAATAGTATATTCATTCTTTTTTATTTTTATACTTTAATTTAAAGTTTAATATATTTTCTTTAAGAGATCATGTTACACATAAATATGTATCATAAAATTCATGTTATGTTCAATCATTATGCATCTAAAACTTGCTTGTAAATATATTATTTAAACACTTTTTATTGTTAGACTGATTTTTTGACAACAAAATTGTCAAACATAAATCATATTATAATAATAGATTTTTATCTCAATTTCAATTTGCAAACTTCAATTTATAAAAGTTTCAATTTTGCAAACCCTAACCAAACACACACCACAAACACTTATAAAAAAAGGGATAATTACATATAAATTTCATTCAACATAATTAATTACTTTTAAATTCATTGGCAATTAAACTTAGGAGCATGTTATTATTTTTTTAAGCTCAAATAATTGTCATGAGTGGTATCTTGAGTAATTCTCCAATAAACAAATTCACAACTCATTAGCACGACACGACGGCCCAATCTTGTTGAAATGTTGGTTTCTGTAGCTTTCAAGAGTTCCAAACTTACAAAACATGTCCAAGTCAGCACGTGAAACATGCAATTTCAAATTTAAATTTTCCAACCAACTATTCTGACATTTCCTCCAAGGGAAATAACAATTAAAGTGCTCTTTTGTGATGCTGTGATCCTATTTCATTTTTGCTGTCCAATGTATCTTGTGCTCAAAATTTTTTTCATCTTTTTCTTTTTGAGAAAAAGCTGATGTTGATATCTAATGAGTCTCTTCCATTATAAAAAATCATTTTCTAATTAATTTTATTCTATAATTATTTTAAATGAGATAAGAACACAAGCATCTGAACTACTGTGTCAGAATGTTTCTTTTCGCCTTCATAAAAAACAGTTTATTTCAGCATTTGTTGTTTTGTTTATTTAATATGAATAATATTTAAACAATTCATACCAAACAGTGTTAGTTTTTGATTCGGTGCTTAGGGTGTATCTGTATCAACATTCGTTAACCACCAAAAAAAAAAATTGAATAAGATGGATTTATGAGCAAACACATCCACCCTTTGTTTGAATGTGGAGAAAAATAAAAAAGAAGGAAAATTATGAGAAAAAATTTCTAAAAATAATAAAAATATTTATTGTTTTTTTAAAATTTCCCTTCTAATTTTCTCTCATTTCTAGTTTCTTTTCATTTTCCTTCCATTCAAATCAAGTCTTAGGCTATGTTCAGTTTAAATATAAATTGGGATTTGGGTGGTTCCACTGGTTTGGGTCTCAAAGTTAGATTGGATCCAAAAACTCTTATTTGTATAAAATTTGTAGGAAAATGTCTTTTGGCTCGAATTTAAGGTTGAGATAGAAGTTTTTTTTTTTTTTCCCCTTTGGCTTTTGTACTTGTTTATCAAAATATAAATCATGTTAAACTGACTTTTTAAAAAAAAAATCCAAACATACATCACTTTATATTTTACCCTAATTTTGTTTTATGAAAAATTTAATTTTGAAAATTTGAATCCAAACACATAAGTATGTGGAAGTTGCTTATGAGAAAAATCACATTTTGAATTTTTATCACTAATTTTATTTTTGTAAAAAAAAACCACGGTTTAAGCTTTCATAATTAAATTTTGGACCTGACCAAACATGACCTCAACAGTCACCACTCACAAATTTCCTCATTTGCTATGCACAAAGTTGCCAAACCATCATGCTATCCTTTTCAAGTTCAAAAATAACTAAAGTTGAACCCTACCTTAAAACAAAAAATAATAATTTAGAATTAAAAAGATAAACTTTTTTAAGTTCAAAAATAAAAAGATCGATCATTTTAATCTTTTTTTATTATTTTTTAAAAAATTTAAATAAAAAATAAAAGATTAAATATCTAACTAAAAAAAATGAACATCTTAAATGTATTCAACCTTCTGTCATTCATTCATTAAGATTTAATTAATAATATTAATGAAATTTAATTTTTATTAATATTAATTTTAATATTATTATTTAATATTAGACCTAGATATTTAAATTTTTTATATTTATTGTGGTGTGAATTAATTTAAATTTATTTTTATAAACTTAACATTATGTGTAATGATTTTTTTAGAATTATAAATATATTTTTTTAAAATTTTAAATTAAAAAAAAAAGAAAAAGGGAGGCCTAAGCACAAAGGCTAAGCCTCATAAAAGAAAGCTCTAAAATATAATCGGTTGCTCATTTAGATCCTAGCTCTTCAATGGCTGAGCGTTTAGCACATGATCTGATAATCTTACAGCAATTTAAGAAAGCAAGTTGCATTTCACCAAGCCTAATTTACAAAGCTCCTCCTACGTCGTATTTGGGACTCGGTTTCGGTGCTCATCCTAAGATGAGCACCGTGGTGCTCAGCACCAAAACACTGCCGTTTGGCAGTGTTTTTTTTGGCAGTTTCTCTTTTTTTAAATCATAAATTTATTATAATAATAAATAATTATTATAAAATTATTATAATAAATAAATTATTATTTTAATATTTAATAAACAAATAAATATTAATATGTTAAAATTAAATATGAATAGATTAACTCATTAAAATATGATTTGAATAGTTCATATATAAATTTTAATCTGAACAGTTCAGAACTGTATTGAAAATATTAAAATTATAAATAAAAATATTTTTTTATTTTATTAATTTTGCATAATTATTTATCTATGAGAGATAATATCATTCAAAACATAGTTAGATATTAAATATAAGTACTTCTCTTAATAAAAATTTAAATATTGATTTATTACAGTGTAAGAAATTAACTCATTTTGCTAGATTCAACTCTTATTTTAAATTATTCAGATCATTTTTTATTTTTCAGTACAGTTCTCAACGCTCAGAGCAAAATTTTCATTCAAACTATTTAGGTTTAATTTTAACATCTTAATATTTATTAGTTTATTAAATATTAAAATAATAATTTTATAATATTTATTTATTATTATAATAAATTTATAGTTTAAAAAAGCAAAAAAAAAAAACACTGTCAAAAAAAAGTGCTGAGCACCAGATGAGCACCGAAACCGAGTCCTCGTATTTGACGACTCTCTCTCTCTCTCTCTCTTGCTACTGCCCTCCTACGTCGTATTTGGCGACTCTCTCTCTCTCTCTCTCTCTCTCTCTCTCGCCACTGAGTTCGAACTCTGAATCCGGATTCCATAGTGGTCTTCACTCTCCAAGCTGAGCTTCCCATGAAGAACTTCGATTCAAAGAGCGGTTTCAGTTCGGATTCTAGGACCTTCCACAGTCTCAGACCCCCTGTTCATCTTCCTCCTCCTCACTCTCCTCTCTCGGCTTCACACTACGCTCTCTCTCTCCATCTCAAATCGCCCTGGTCTGACTCAGTCACCGCCCTCGTGGACTCCGCCTCCGGCCACCGAGTTTCCTTCTCTGAGTTCATCCATTCCTCACAAACATTAGCTTCCAATCTTCAATCTCTAGTACGCCTCTCCAAAGGCGACACAGCCTTTGTATTATCCCCCAACCTCGTTAAGGTTCCGATCCTCTACTTCGCCCTGCTTTCCCTCGGCGTCGTAGTCTCTCCGGCTAACCCAATCAGCACACCCGCTGAGATTTCCCACCTCTTTCAGCTGTCGTCACCGGCCATTGCCTTCTCCACGTCGTCCACAGCGCACAAACTTCCGCACAACCTGCTGCGACTCGGAGTCATACTTCTCGACTCGCCCGAGTTTGACTCGCTGATGACGACGACGACGACGAAACCAGCGGTCCCGCTCGTTGAGGTGAGCCAATCGGACTTAGCTGCCATTTTGTACTCTTCTGGGACCACCGGGAAGGTGAAGGGAGTGATGTTGACTCATCGGAATCTGATAGCGTTGGCAGCGAGTTACGACGCCACTCGCTCTCAGAGAGAAAGGCCGGCAGTTTTCCTCTACACGATACCATATTTTCACGTGTACGGCTTCACGTACAGTCTGAGGTCGGTGGTTTTATCGGAGACGGTGGTGTTGATGGAGAGGTTCCGTATGGAGAAGATGTTGAAGGCAGTAGATGAGTTCAGAGTGACTCACCTAGCGGTGGCTCCACCGGTGGTGGTGGCTATGGCGAAAGGAGATGTAACGGACGGCTACGATTTGAGCTCGTTGGAAGGCATCGCTTGCGGGGCGGCTCCGCTAGGAAAGGACGCCGCCGCGGCTTTCAAATCGAAGTTTCCCAGAGTCGTGATTGTCCAGGTTAGCGATTCTCATTGTGAGCGAATTTCAGCATTTCAATGCAAAAACGGCAATTTATTAGAACGTCGTACAATGAAGCTTACAAGACGACACCTAATAGGATAATCGTAAATGTATATTAATCTTACGAAGAATCCAAAGAATGGATTCCATTCCATTGTCTGTGATTGTGTAATTTACTGTATATTTTATATTAATGCATATATATATATATTGATTTATAGAAAATATTAAAACATAATAAAATATTTCTTAGTATAAGATGTAACAAAATATGCTTGAAAACAATATTTGGTGGTTGAAGAAGTTAACCCCTATCATTTACACTAATTTGAATTTATCCATTAGTTTATACTCTCTCTCGTCCTTCTTATAAAAACATATTAACAACGTTACGTAAATTAATGAAATTAGTTATTCCTTATAGAATTTTAAAATTACTCTTAATAAAGGTTACTCAATCTTTATACATAAGACAAATTTTGAAAGATTTTTTTTTTCAGATTTAAAGTAATAATACTTTTTTAAGAGAATTACATTTAGGTCTTATATAAAAAAATTAATTACTATAAATTTTATTGACAACTGAACTAAAAAAATTGACAGTATAATCAGTTGTCAATTTCCTTAATTCAATTATCATTGAACCTTATAGTAATTAATTTTTTTGTGTGAGTAATTTTTTTTATTTTTTTTAATTTTACTCTTTATTTATTTATTATCATTTAAATTTTTAGACAATGATTTATTATGACATTAGTTGCAAAGAAGAAGAGAAAAATTAAAAAATTACATTTTTTAAAACAATTTTCAGGATATAACTCCCATTTTCTAATAAACGTAGAGTTAGTTAACTTTACTTTATACTCTATTAAGGCCTGGAGGGAGTATTAATAAGAGGAATTTGTTTAATTAGTTAGAAGTTTTATAATTAGTTAAGAATACTAGGTAGATAAAATAATATTTCAAGTACATTATAGTATTATATTAAGAAATATGTATAAGAACCGAAGAGCATTTTATTATGTAGTAAACTTAAGTCAATGATAAATAACATTGAAATAAACAAATTAGACATCATCAGGATAAACCTTTTATAAAGATAAAATAAAGAGACAGCTTTATAAATATTTTCAGATTTTACATAATTAAAGTAAAGAAAGTAACATATGGAGGACAAAATTTAAAGGACAATATAACAAAATAGAATTATTTTTGGTTGTTTAATACTACTCTGGTTCTATTTATAAAGTACATTCTAAAAAGTCTATTTAATCCCATTTATAAGTCACAATGTAATTTTTTATGTAATATTTAAAAAAATTTAAAATTATCTTTCATGAGAAAAAAATAATAATATATCATTGTTTTTCGGATTTGTTGTGTGGAAGTATATATATTTGAAATTCTATATATTTTTATTTTTTGTGCTTTTTTTGTATTGATATTGATAATATTAGTAAAATTGCTGACTGGATGAGCATCTCCACAATGAGTAATTTATATAATTTTTTTTCAAAAATGTAGGGCTATGGCTTAACAGAAACAACGGCATCGATCTGTCGAACAACAGGAGAAGCAGAAACGATTAAAACAGGAACAACGGGGAAGCTAATAGCAGGTGTTGAAGCCAAAATTGTGGACCCTGACACTGGACTAGCCATGTTTCCTGGACAAGAAGGTGAACTTTGGCTTAGAGGACCTTCTATAGCGAAAGGTACATTTCTAAATTTATATTACAAGCCTCATGTTCATAGATATGGATTCCCTCAGCATCTCAAATCCCCTCACCTAGTAAGTGTCCTATAGACACAATAAAGATCGTTGATTCAATCGAACGGTTATCAGATATGTAAGCACAAAATATAGAAAGAATACCAAAAAATCATCATCTAACTCACCTTTCATTGAGTATAACTTTTTAAACGTTGATGAAATTCTATGACTATAATGTGGACACTATAAGTAAGAGAGTATGGAATAGTCATAGAATCTAAATTCCATATTACCACTAGATAACTAAACAATCACACTTAGTTAGCTTGTATTGTCGCAAAAGAACAGGGTATGTAGGGGATCCAGAAGCAAATTCGGCGACTTTTGTAGATGGGTGGTTGAGGACTGGAGACTTGTGCTACATTGACCACCAAGGCTACCTTTATGTTGTTGACAGGCTCAAAGAATTGATCAAATACAAAGGATATCAGGTAATTCAATTCCCCTCTTCATTCTTCCTTGCACGTATCATTACAAAACTTGGGAAAAGACTAATTGAAATTGTAATACTAAATGGATCTAATCGTGACCAAAGATGCTTATCTATAGGATAGACACATGAATTCTTTAAAAAGTTGGTGGCCATTGTATGTAAAGAAGGCAATCTCAAATCGTTCTCTCCTCTACAATGATTATTTAAGAAGAGTCAAAGTTAATCTTTATATTGTGTTAGATTATATCTATTTAAACTGGTATTTTACACGTGGACAATTATATACTGCTCCTTTTAAAATTAAAAGCATGGATGGATTGAAGATAATTCTTCATGACAGTCAAAACCGAAGTAAATCAACAAAAACAACAAATATTTTGTATGTAGAGATGTTTAAGAATTTGGAATGAGCAAATGGGGCAGGGGCGGAATCAACCTTATTAGTTGTGGGGAGGGGGCAATTTTTGGAGAAAAATATATTATTAATTTAATTAACATTTAGCATGCTGAATTTTTTAAAAAAATTAATTTTATAATTTAAAAATATTATACTCCCTCTGTTCAAAGATATAAAACATTTTTAACTGAATCTCATCTCCTAATAAAGTAGTTACCCACTTTCAAACTAACTCTATTTTTTCATATTTATTCCTATTAAACACCCTACAATAAATATAAAGTCATTATTAATAAGGGCATTTTTGAAAAAAAGGTAATGATTACACTTCGAAAGACTAAAAATATCTTATATTTTTTAACATCCAACTCCTCAAAAAATACCTTACATTTTTTAATAGAGGGAGTACATTAAATTATGAATACAATTATATATAATTTTTAGAAAATTTGGAAAACATTAAAACATAGAATCATATAACATACTTATGCTCTCTCTTGTCCTTTATATTATAAGGTACCTTTCAAAAATGATATCAAATGACACTCCATTTTTACTCCTATAATTTTATTAGTTTTTTGTGACATGAACAGGACATGATAAGGTTCCCTAGCTTCAATTAATTAATAAGGGAATGAGTAAAATATTAAATATCTTTTTAAAAAATAAAGCAATCTAATAATTTTCTTAATCTATACATGAAAAAATGCTGAGAAGCATATATAAAGGGCGAAGGGTGTACTTCTTCCAAATTACAATATAAGATATCTTCTAAAATTCTTGCTTAGTCTAAAATATATGATATTAAAAGTTTTTATAATTGTTTTTTCAACTATACCTCTATTTCATTTATTATTACTTTTAAAAAATTATGCATTAAAATTTTAATTATCATTATTAAGACCCTTGTATAAAACATTTAATGAAAATATACTTGAAAAGATATATAATTTTTTAAGAGATTAAGATTTTACCTAACTTTTTTTTAATTGTAAAATAGTTGCTAATGCCATATATTTTGGACTTTGGAGAAAATACATGTATATAATTCAAGTGTGTGTAATATAATATTAGAGTTTTCAATTAAAGTAGAGCTCATCTAGTTGGCCCTTTTAAGCTTGAAAATATTTAAGATTAGGCTACTATTTTGAGATATAAAACGATAATTCAAATTTAAAAATGCTAGCCTTTTTACAATTTTTTTAAAATTTTAATATGAAAAAAAAACCTCTAACTTCATTTGGTCATTCTCATTCCTTCTCCCTCATCCATTGATTGACCAGATTGACCAACTAACCAAACACAAAAACAACCACATTCCTTGCCTCCATTTCTCATCCATCAAAACTTAACTGATGATACTAATAAAATTTAATTATTATCAGAATTGATTTTATAATATTGTTTTTTTTATTAGGCTTAAATTTATTGTTGACTATGTTGACTTAAATTTATTTTTCTAGATTCAATATTATGCATAAATCTTTCTTTAAATTTTAAATATATTTTTTAATTAAAAAATGAAAAAAAAGGTTGCGGCTCTTAAGGCTAGCCTTTCAGCTCTAAAAGCTAGCGTTAGACTGTACAAAATAAAATTTTAAAGTGTAATCAAACTTAAAAAGACCCGCATATTTATATGCTATACTATGGAAGATAAATTTGCTTGGGGGCTATGTGGGGAGTGTGTGTGAACCGTGAGGGAATGGGTTGAGAGGGGAGGGGGCATACAGGATAAGGGTATTGGGTTGGCCCCGATAACATTGATTTAAGTCAAATAAAAATCAGCAAAATAACATTATTTTCGACATATTGGCAAGCTAAAATTATAGTTAAGTAAATCCCGAAGCTTAAGTAAGAAATAACATTATTCATAGGTAATAAATTCTATATATATAGTAATTATTGTATATTATAATTAATATTGATTTTGGACATTGCAGGTGGCCCCTGCGGAGCTGGAGAACTTGCTTCATTCTCACTCACAGATCAAGGACGCTGCGGTTATTCCGTAATTTTCTACTTCCCCTCTCTTTTATTTTATTCACCAAATATAATATAAAACTAGATTTTATATCTGTTTCATTAGAAAGGAATATGGAGGAGGGGGAAAGATTTTAATAGATTTGATTTATAATATATATATATATATATATATTATATGCAAGGCCTTATAGTTTTCCTTGATTTTGAGTTAGTTTTCTACAATTTATTTTATTTTAACCAAGTCTTTATAGTTTGATCCATTAAATTTTATAATTCCTAAAGATTAAAATACTTGAAATTTTCCTTTAAATAAAGAAAATTAAAAATTTTATATTTTTGTTAAAATATTATACAATTTTAAAATTATTAATTGCATAATTTTTATATGATTAGGGTGTTTTCTAAATAATTTTTAGACATGTAGAATTTTTATTAAAAAAATTAATAAAAATTTTAATAGTATATTAAATCAATTTTTTTATTTTGGCTAAAAGTATTAAATCAAATTTTTAATAAACTCTTAAAGTATTTCTGTTTGGAGAAAGTCAATGTAGTTTTGACTTGATACATTAGTCCTTATAATCTTGGTTCAAAGATAATTTAATTCTTAGACTTTGATTCGATATTATTCAATCCCTTTAATATTAATAATTTAAAATATTAGTTTTTATATTTTAGAAAATAAAATTATAAGAATTAAATTTAATTTTTGAAATTTAATGACTAACTTTTTAAATAGTTAAAATTTAAAGATTAAGTTACAATTTAATCAAATCATAAAAACTGCACTGCACCGAGTTAAAATATAAAGAATGAGTTATAACCTTATTAAAATTATAAGTATCAAATAATTTTTTTTTTTCCTTTTGCAAAGCATCAAATTTAAAGGCATTTGTAGAAAAAGTAGAACTCAATGCTATTTTTTTTCCTTTTGCAAAGTATCTTATATTTATGACCATCAAATCCTTCTAAAACATGTCTTAGTGTGATTTGGCATAATTTTTTTTTATCATTGATATATTCAAATATGACTAATCTAATAATTAAAATCGTTGAACAGTTACCCTGATGAGGAAGCAGGGCAGGTGCCGATGGCCTTTGTGGTGAGACAGCCTCAGAGTTCACTCAGTGAAGCCGATGTAATTGATTTTATCGCCAAACAGGTTGCTTCCATCTCTTGTTCTTCTGTTTCTGTTTATATGAACTGCCACAAGAACTTTCATGCGAGTTAGATATCTTAATCAATGATATTTTGAATATTACAACACAGCAAATAATTTTTTTCAAATAGGTTGCCCTAAAATTATAGGTACATGAGCATCGAGACCTTTAATTCGTTTTTTATTCATTTATGTCAATCACTATTAAAAAAATTATAATTTGCTACCTCCCATTATTAAATATAAAAATATTGGCTGTCAAGTCTTGTGAGAGAAAATATAATCTGATTTTATTGTTAATGTTTTTGTAGTTAACAAATGGGGAAGCAAATTCAAAGTTTTTAAATGCTAAAGAACAAAAATGCATCAAAAAGAATTTTGAATCCAAAATGCTCCTAATTCTGTAATTTAATGATAAAATTATCTAGTTACTATTTTCAAATATATATTAGATTAATTATTAGGGTTCTCGGTACTCATTACAACAATGAGCATTAAAATATGTCTTTAAATATAGAAATAATAAAAGAAGAATGATAATTGAGTCCCAAAAAGTTAAATCAATGATAGTTAGGTTCCCAACAAATTTTGTTAAAGAACGAGTTATTAATGTTAATTCAATTCAAATAGTTACAACCAGAAATTCTTGTTATTATGTAAGAGTTACATTTGATATTTAAATATATATTTGTAATTAAATTTCTTGAATTTTCAATTATCTAGATCGATATTTTTAACTTATTTTTTAAAAAAAATTTGTTAGAGATTCAACTATCATTAATTTAATATTTTGGGATCTAACTCTCATATTCCTTTCTAGAATAAATTCCTGGCAGGTTTTTTTTTTTTTTTAATGTCTCCAACTTTCTGTTCTTATATTTAAATTTGATGAAAATTTTAGAAGAGATCATTCATTTTTTTAAGGGTAAAACAAAAACTTGAAGATTTATTCATCTTCTTGATTGCAGGTTTCAGCGTACAAGAAAATAAGGCGCGTATTATTTGTGAGTTCCATACCAAAGAATGCAGGGGGGAAAATTTTGAGGAAAGACTTGAGTAAATTTGCCCTCCATCAATCTATATCTAAATTGTAATGGAATACTTCATTTCATTCTGATGGCAAATTTTAGAGCTAATTAAATCTACTTTTTATTTTTTGCGTGATGGAAAAATTACATAAAATATAATTATAAAGACACTAAATCTAGCCTTCAAAATTAGGATGCAATATGATGAGTTAGGACGGATCATGTCCTACAATATTTTTAATTTTTTTCTGTAGATTATCAATTCAAAGACTAAAAGAAATAAAGTATATTGTCCAGAAAGTATACTAAGAAATTTGAAGTGTTGAGATTATACAAATTAATTATTAACATGTTGAATGGATTTGGTTTTAGACTATCAAATAAAAACATGACATGTCATTTGGTTATAAATATGAATTGACTCTACTATTGATAATGGAAGAGAGAGAGAAAAGACAAAAAAATTAAAACACCCTATTCTAAAAAAAAATAAAATAATTAGTAATAATGAAAATGAAAAATTAAAATTTATTTAATTGAAATGGTATAATTTTATTGGATACTCTATAAATAGCCAGAACAAGAATTTCTATGCAAGTGGTGCAACTACTCGCAAATATTCATTTCACTCTTTCCCTTAGTACTCATTCGTTTGCTTAGATATCACGGGTTAAAATCCATTAAAAAATACATAATTTAATTAGGAAAGCAATTCCCTAAACTACTCCCCCAGCCACAATATAAATTATTTTTTAAAAATTTTATTTAATTTAAAATATAAGGCATTGAATAGGTGTTATACATTTTTTTAATTATATTCTTATTTTATTAAGTAATTAATGAAGTTATTTTAAATAAGTTAAACATTATATTTATTACACTCAATAGCACAATTATGATGATGTGAAATTTTTTTAAAAAATTAAGATTTTAACTAATTTTTTTAAATATAAATTAATTAACAATAACTTATATTAATAGTACCATCTATGACATTGTCCATTAAAGCATAATTATTATTCCAAGATATATATACCTAGATGAGTGAAACAACGTGGCCGGTGATAACACGTCGTCTTTTTTATAAACTTATATAAGCAATCCCAAACCACCAATTTCACGTATAGACATAATGTTTTTAATACAGTTATTTAAAATTCCATACTATTGAGTCAAATTTAAATTTTAATTATAAATATTTAAATTATTTAATTAAACTGATGTAATTATCACCAATATCAATATATATTGTAAACTGTAAAGTGCATACTAGAGTACTATTCATCTATAGTAGGATGAACAGTACCATGATTTTTTTCTTTTTTAAAATTCATTTTTGTATATTAAGATTTTATATGATCCCATAATAAAAATTAAAATAATAAGTGTGGAACCTAAAGTTGTCAATTACTGCCAGTCTGATCTTAAAAGATTGACCCTTATAAACATGATTATGTGTCAAAGCTCTCTTTTATAAGGCTAAGTCCTAACCCTTAGGGTCTAAGTCCTATTTTTTTACTTTTTTAAATTTAAAATTTTAAAAAATATATTTATAATCCTAAAAAAATTATTATACATAAAATTAAGTTTAAGAAAATAAATTTAGATTAATTTACAGCACAACAAATAAAAAAAACTTAAACATTCAAGTCTAATATTGAATAACAACATAAAAGTTAATACCAATAAAAATTAGACTTGGCTAACATTATCAACTAAATTTTAATGAATGAATGAGGGAGGGATGAATGGGTCTAATATGTTCATTTCTTTTAATTATATCCTTTTAATCTTCTCCTTTTTTTTATATTACACTTTTAAAAAAAAACAAAAGAGCTTAAAAGGGTCTGCTTTTTTATTTTTGAGTTTAAAAGTGCTGGTCATTTTAAGTCCAAATTACCATTTTTCCTTTCAAAGTAATGGCGTGGCCTTAGTTATTTTTGAACTTAAAAAGTCTAGCTTGAATTGACAGCTCTACTGAAACTCATAGTAAAAAATGCTTGTAACTATGAGACTCATAAAAAATGATATGTATGAAATTTAATTTTTTTTTGCAAATGTAGGAAATTTATCATTTGTTGCTTCTATTTTATATATGTATAGGATAATTAATTTTACATAACATGCAAATTTAAATAATAAATTATAAAATAGAATATTTTATTATTTAAATCAATCAACTTATTCCCTTTCGATTTTATATATAAGCAAATTTTAGTCAATTCATACAATGTAAAAAATTGATTAATTTTGATAATTATGTTTGAAATTAAAAAGTTTGGATTAGGATGTTCTTGTGATTAACATTTTATGTTCTCCTAATTTAATGAAACTATCATTTTTTATGGCCAGAAATGAGACTCTGGTAATGAATAGTAATTAAGAAAAAAATGTCATAAATACTTTTTTAAAAATTATTGTTTTGTTTATAAAAAAATAACAACAAACCATTTGAAAATGGTTGAGAGGTGGGATTTTAAATTTTAGTGCCTTCAATTTTAGAAAAATAGAGAATTGTGGTTATAAAATTTTTAATTGATTTTTTTATTTTACGTCTCTCAACTAAAATTTTATAACTTATTTTTCCAATTTATAAAAAAATAAACTCATTATAAATATTATATTTCTTTTATTATTCATTTTAAACAAAAAAAATGGGGGTTAATATTCCCATGTATCGCACAGATATAAAATATAGTTTTATTAGATAGAGTATGGATGAATTGGTGCTCCTAATCCATTTCTCTTAGACTTAATCTATTTTTAAAAGACTTGATTAATATAAAAACTATCCATTTTTTGGCCTAAATACACAGCATTATTGAGTGAGATTTGTATTTGAAACACATATATCATGGATCTCATGTACCATTCTAGAATCTGAATTAGTCCAAATTATTATGTTTTTATCCTAGTATTTAATATCTGGTATTATCAGATTAGATTCCAGCATTGTAATTTGTGAGATTTAATGAAACTTAATTGGTGTAGTTCTCTCAATTTAATGTTTTCATCCACATGACTTGAAGTCCCTCGATCTTATTTAAGGTGTGTTTGGTTCAATGAGAGCAGCGAGAAAGGGAAGAGTTTGATGTTACTTTATTTGGCCTGGGAAGGAAGGAGAGGAAAAATAATTATGTATAAATAATTTTATCCTCATTTTATTAAAATTAGTTTTTCCTAATAAAATATAGTTGTCATTGTTTTTAATATATAATTATAAGTTTATGATTACAATTATTCGAACTTAAAAAAAGAAGAAAGAATTGACATAGGAGCGATCCCTGCTAAGGTGGATGCTATGGGTAACAAAGTGAAACTTGTGTGGGGCGAGAGAGCTAATAACTACCATTTACCAGCCTCTGCAATTTGATGGCATAAATGAGAGAACAAAACACTCATATACTATGGGCATATTCATCAGGGTGTGACAAATTATACCCTTCTCCTTTCAATCCTCTCAATTTGGAGCCAAACAAGGGGAGGAGAGTGCAAAATCCCTCCCCTCCCCTCCCCTCAACCAAATACCCCCTTAAAATATTTAAATCCCTTCCATTGGACCAAACCATAGTTAGTTTCTCAATTTTTTGAGGTTAGTAAACCATTTGGTGTCCAAAGCCAAAGCTCTGACTAATTCAAATTGAGTCTGATTAAAATCCTTCCAAATAAAAATGCTATCACCAAATATTGTTATATTTTTAAGACTCAAACTTAAGTTTTTTAGCTACGAAAATAACACTTTTTTATCAGTTGAACCAAATGTTCACGTGATAATTTGTTAATTTGTGTGGTAGCATGATGAATTCTTCTAGTGTGAAGGACCATGTAATATCAGTGTCACATAGATATTCAGTCCTTATAATTTCTTCAGGTTTTGGTTTTGAGCCTTGCAGGTTTTTTAAGTGTTTTCAGTTTTTATAGTTTCAAAAAAATTGGATGACTTTTATTTTCAAAGTCCCTATAATTTTCATCTTTTTAATAGTTTTAATTCCTATAAAAATTGAAAATACTGAAAAAAATATAGAGATTAAAAATAAAATTTAATAAAATTATAAGGATAAAAGGTTATGTTTTCTCATTTAAATATGACTGATCTAATAATTAAAATCGTTGAACAGTTACCCTGATGAGGAAACAGGGCAGGTGCCGATGGCTTTTGTGGTGAGACAGCCTCAGAGTTCACTTAGTGAAGCCGACATAATTGATTTTGTCGCCAAACAGGTTGCTTGCTTCTCTTCCTTATTCTGCATTTTCTGTTTATATGAATCCCGAAAATCTTTCATGCGAGTTAGATATCTTAATCAATGATATTTACCTTGTATTTTGAATATTACATCACATCAAATAATTTTTTTCAAATAGGATCGCCCTGAAATTATTGGTACATGAGCATCAAGACCTTTAATTCTTTTTTGTTTCATTTATGTCAATCAATATTAAAAAATTATAATTTGCTACCTCCCATTATTAAATATAAAAATATTGATTGTCAAATCTTACGAGAGGAAATGTAAGAGAAAATAGCATTCAAGAATTACAATGTAAAATTTATATTTCACAAGTACTAAATGATTTAATAATAACACTGCAGTCCTATAATTCTTCTAACATATTAATTCTACTGGCAAAAAGATCAAAATGCCCCTTATAGTTAAAAAAAATTTAGTTCTCAAATAAAATATCGCCGACGTCGGAGCTCCAGCGACTGGCCGCTAGTAGCAAGGGCTCTGGCGACTAACCGCTGGCGACGGTGGGGGTTTCCTTTTTTAAAAAAAAACTATAAAGGACATTTTGGTCTTTTTGCCTATAGAATTAATATGTTGGAAGGATCAGAGGATTGCAGTGCTATTATCAAATTATTTGATCCTTGTGAGATATAAATTTTATACAGTGACCCTTGGATACTATTTTCCCAAAATGTAATATGATTTCATGTTCAACGTTTTTGAATTTAGCAAATGGTGGGGAGCAAATTGCAAATTTTTTAAATTCTAAAGAACAAAAATGCATCAAAAAAAACTTTGAATCCAAAAAGCTCCTAATTCTAGAATTTAAAGATAAAATTATCTGATTATCGTTTTCAAATATATATTAGATTAATTATTAGGGTTCAGTTTCGATACT